GACACGGACAGACATGACACTGAATCAAAGTGGCATTTGCAGCATTTGCTGTAGTCACTGTAGTCCAATGATTTGCTCAGGACACAAACACTGCCCTATTGTGGCTTGAAATTGAGGAACTGATACAGGACCTGCAGACACACCTCGCAGTAGGTGCTTTGCAATTTGAGTGGAGCCGTGGAGCGCAAGGAGAGCAAGAAGACCATGGAAGATGAAAAGAGGCGCTCAGTTCCATCCAGCTTTGAACAACTACTCTGGGGTGCCAAAAGTTGCGCTTCTTGACTTCATTTGACTTCTAAAACGGGACAAACCCTTTCCCCTTAGAATCCTACGTGCAACATGTCGACACCTAAGTTGCGGTTAGATTTCCACACCTGAAAGCCTTATTATAAGTACAAAAGATTTAAACGGGTGTGGAAATCTGACCGTGCTGTACCTGCCAGGCAAACTGGACGTGTCGATCCGATCCGCTGTAGAAAGCGTCATGTTGGAACAGCGTAAGAAGTGTAAACTTTAGGGTTCTTGAAGTAATGGCGAGTTTGGTGCCAGGAAAGTGAAGAAACCTCCTGTGCAGAACTCAACAATGTGATGCTCACATGATGCATTTGATTGCAATCACATCATCATGCTGCATGCCAAATCAGGAGTAGTCGAGTGGAACGGAGTCCGAATGGTGCGTTTGTGGAGATTAACTATAATTGATACAAAAGACGTGTGATTTAGGCAGGTTCCAACTTTCCTTCAATTTGAGGCCCTGGAGCTCGAGAGTGCTGCGGGGGACTATGGCATACCGGCATACGGCATACCTTGCTCTGGGAACAGTGTGTCATGAACCAGCTATAGCATTTGGTGCATTACTGGTGTGTCCTGCCACATCCTGGCACTTAGAATTCAATGGCGATTGTCAGCTTAGGCAAAGCTCCGAGAATAGTAAATACTGGGCTTAGGCGCAATTAGCGTCCGCTCAACAACTGAGCATATAGGTGCATCTTTGGTCAGGGCACGTCAGAGTCAATACAGAGTTGGCCGGGCACATTTATGATTTGTGTATGTCTTTCATGGACAAACTTCATATTGAAATAAATAAATAAATATATATATATATATCACGAAAGCCAGCCGGTAGGCAGGGCTTGAGGTTGTGGGAGCGAACGAAGTGAGGGGGCGGGGGGGGGGGGGGGTCGCGAGAGTGCCAATTTTTGGAGAGGTGAACCCAGAGCCTGGTGGGGGAACGAAAAAACGAGGTTGGCCACTTGGTAGTGAAAAATGAGTTGTTTGAGGGGTGTTGTGATGCCGGTGATGTAATTGACGGCGAAGAGTGCATCATCAGCATCACGAGGGGCTCAGCTCAGGAGGCCATGGAAAGAGAATAGATTGTAGTTGCGGCTAAGCTTAGCGTTGCTGCCGGACTGAAGAGGGCACCCCCTATGCGGTGGGAGTTCAAGTGGACTGGGGGTTAGGGCGGGAGAGAGAAGAGACTGCAGCGGGCAAGCGGCTTACTTGCACACTCACGTCGCTCCAATATCAACCGCACCACTTCCGGCTGCTCTTTGTCCACTCTACCTATACACACACATATATATATATATATATAATATATATATATATATGACCCCACCTACCCTACCCATAGCCTCGCACATGAACCTCCACCGCCGTCTCTGCTCACTGATCCCAGACCTATGTCCTAGTTTCCATTTCTAACCCCTATCAGTGTGGCTGCGATGTCAACTTCACCCCATGAAATTAATCTTTGCCCGATGTTACCACATCACTTCCTGTTGCACGCCAAGTCTTTGCCCGGGCCTATCCTGAGAGGCACCCCCTAAGCCAGAGGCTGGCTTTCGTCCCCTCCCTTCTCAGGTATATATACGTATAAGTCCATGGTCACAGCCGTTGGAGGGTAGGACAGTGCTTGGGGCGGGGCTTTTGGCAGCCAAGGTATAATGCAGTACAAGGAAGAAAGCAAGAAAGAAAAAAAGGTCAAAAGGTGCTGTTTCCCTAAACATCTAGGAGCCAAATCAATGTTGCGATGGGTTGGTTCTTTTGCATCCCAGTAATGAGTGGTTTTCTTGCTACTAGGAGATTACTTAAGCTACCTATGGGCCGTCTTCTCACGGTCTACCTCCCTGAGAAAGTAGAACAAGACAATGAGAACAAACAGGATACACATTAGGCCATCGCTCGTAGGTTGGAGGCCATTAGCTTTGAGATTGAAATAGGAATGTTCCGTCCAAGGCCCCTGGCCCTGCAGGGAGCGTGACCAGCTCAGCTTTTGACAAGTTGTTCCACTCGGTTCCACTGGCATGTGAGAATCACTTGATGGAGCATCATGTAGCTGATTGAAGAACATCAGAGATCTATATAGTTTGTGTATGTTTGTGCTTATTTGGTGGGATAGAGGAAATGCTTTGAGTGTATGATCAGTTTGCTCAATTTTGATGATAGATTAATCGATTCAGGTCAAGTTGGTGCGAATCGCCAACACCGACTATTTGACGGAGGTATATAGATTCCGCATAGCTAAATCATGCTTGGCAAAGTTACTGGCAAGATGTAAGCGCAAGCAGGTCAGAAGATTACCAGCAATGTGGACGGATCAAAAGTCATTTGGCAGAGTAAGTGATGATTCACAGGATGATTGATTGAATGAATGAACTGAGTTTGAGAGACAGAAAAAAGAAGGTGGACTTGGACTTGACCCATTTGAAGGAAGGCTTTATTAAAGAGGCTCAAGTCCACCACCTTTTTTCTGTCTCTCAATTTTTTGTTGATTTTGGAACCAAGGCTGGGAGACTTCGTGAAGAAGCCGGCGAAGCTGGCTCCTTTATTGCTTGTTTGGAAGCTGGCGCCAGCTTCGCTTCGCTCCTCACATCATTTGTTTGTTCCACGCCAGGAGGGTTATCGCAACTTCAAAGAGTTGGTTGGACGACAAAGGGCTCCAACTCATACAGGCACTGTATTGCGTTCTAGGTGGGGATGAAAAAAGCGAAGTGATCTTGATATGCTTGATGAAGGAAAGCTGGTTGATGGAGGTGCTGCAAGCGTGGGCGGTGCTACTGGACGAGGCTGAGGGTCGAGCTTCCGGTCTACACACTTTCGTTATTCATGTCAGAAGGATGAAGCGCGTTCATGGAACCGCCGCGAAGCAGATAAAATCATCCTTGCCAAGGGGGGAAGTCACAGGCCCGAGAAAATTGAAAAAGAGCGGCGTTTTTGGAAAGCAGAGGAAGATATGGGGCAACATCTTCGGAATGTGGGTTCCATTGGGGTCCAAGTGGACACAGACAGGAGCAATAATGCAAAGCATATCACTTATCACTTTTTAGGGTTTTTGCACTTGCATAAAATCGGATATGTTGGAAGTGCCGGGGCAACATCTTCGGAACATAGCTCATTTCGGAGCCAATTTGGCCCCCCACTTGGCTGGGGCTGCAGTTGGGCCCAACATGTTCGACTTGGGTGCGGTTGGGTTCAACTTGGGTTTAATTTGACGCTAACATCGATTCAACACTGGGAACATGGACCCGGAAATGTGTTCCATCGACGCTAATCTTGCAGCATGTTGGGTTCAATCGGGGTCAAAGGGGGTGTTTGGCAGTCACAGAGGCGGCTTCTGAAAAAGGCCCTCCCCAGCTACGCTAACTGAGCAGTACACTACGTGCTGTTGGAGCGTTCCTGCGACACAAAGTGATTACGCCCTTCAGCACCTGTGGCGCGGCGGATTTGGCGTTTTCGTGATTTCTTTTGATGTGTTGTTTTATCCGCTGGTTTAATTTTTCCTTGTGGACATCAACTTGCACTGGTGTTGCTGTCAGGAGCTCCAAGTACTATGACCACAGCTCGTCAGCCAGACACTGTCTGCTGCTGAGGATAGGATGTTGGTCCATTTGAGAGTTCGGGTCGGACAATTCATTTTGCAACCGACCGTGTCAACCAATTTGCCAATACCGTAGCTTACTCATACGTACTGGGCGTGGCCGTATTTGCCACCCACAGTCCCGCTGCAAAGCAACGCTCAGCATGACATTTGCTTGCAATGTGTTCAGCAAGGTGCGCTCCGAATCGATGCCAGTTTTGCGCTCTGACAGAGGCATTCTTCTACGTACTAGGAACCCGCGCATCGTACTAGGAGCAAGGACGCTACTAGTAGCTCCTGCCCCTACTACTAGGAGCAAGCAGGAAGTTGGAGTTCTCATAGCCGCAAAGTCTCCATTCCGACAGGTCTGGCTATGGATTTGACTGCCCCAGGTTCACGTTGCCGATGTCCAATTGTGCAAGTGTTGTTTGAGACAATGACAGAAACTCTTGTTGCCGCATATTCGCAGGTCCAGATGCGCTACCTTTGCTTTGCGGGCCTCATGGTGAGTTTGGCAGTGCTTGCATCTGAGCGCTTGTGAACTGTGAGAGCTGCATAGAGCTGTTTGTGGAGTTTTCTCTAAGCTCAGGACCAAGGGTATGGTTCTCCGTTGCTTTGGGCAGGGAAGTCCCGGAAGGAGACTTGATGGTTTCGAAAAATGGAAAATTCATGGAGTTGGAGTGCATGGCATACTCATTTTGGATAACAGTTTGGTACGTTATGTGCAGGCAAGAAGTGCCAATGGCTGAGACACACAAAGAGCCCAACCGTTCTCCCTACGTATCTACTTAATGCTCATTGCTTTTGCCAATATTTTCCACTATGCGTTCCATAGTAGGATGCTGATTTGGAAAGGGGAGCTGTCAGAGTAGCATGACGCATGAACGTCGGCACTAAGTCCACGAGCTTTCGCCAGCGCTTCTGAGAGACACGACTTGGCCAACGCCAAGCAACGCAACGCACCAAGCAGTGCCAAGCAGTCTCACCAAAGAATGTCACATCGTGTCACCCACATCGCCCCAAGAAAGATCCGGAGAGTTTGCAGAGCATCAGATCAGCCCTTGTGAATCTTGCAAAGATGTGCCCGTGCAACAGCTCAAACTCTGCATGTTTGGTCATAAACTAGTCATCCACCTACTGCAGCTTTGGGTCATGCAAACGGGATACCGCGCCGTCCAGAGGCACGGCCAAGTCAAACAAATCCTTTAGTCTGGCAGCCCAAGCAAAAGGTGTGGCTCGATGGCCGGCAGAGAGGTGGAGCCGGCAAGAGGAGGTGCGCTGCGGAGCATCCCAAGGTGTGGACATGGAAAGGGATATGGGGCAGAAGGAAAAGCCTGAAGAGCACAATTATGTGGTAACAACCTGAGCAAACAAAGCGAAAACAAAGTATTTAATAACCTGAATAGAGTTCCGACCTGTTCGTTGCGCATCCTCCTTTGCCAGACCATTGGTAAGAGGACAGCGATCCTTTGCACGGCTCTAAGCATGCTAAGGAGCACCTAGTAGCTTCTTGTTCCTAGTAGTAAGGCCAGGAGCCCCTAGTAGCGTCAATGCTCCTAGTAGCGATGCCAGGAGCCCCTAGTAGCGTCCTTGTTACTAGACACTGGGTTTTGTTGGTTTGAAAATTTCAGAGTATCTCAAGCGGCCTTAGCGGCGCGTTGTTGAGGTTCCATCTTTGTCCTTAGCGGCGCTGCTGAGTGCTTGTCCCTTATAACTCTTGATATCTCTTGATTGTGTTACAGGTTTTGTGTTTGAGATTATATATCTAAATCTTCAAAGGTCTTGTACACTTGGGCTTCTCCGACTTCATGGGTATCAAGGCACGCGGCATCAAATGAGGCCAAGCTATAGGTTTTGCACTGGATGGTCTAACTGCTAAATTTGCTCAGCCTCAAGCTTCTTGTTCCTAGTAGTAAGGCCAGGAGGTGCTAGTAGCGTCCTTGCTCCTAGTAGTGATGCACGGGTTCCTAGCAGCGTCCTTGTTCCTAGTAGTAAGGCCAGGAGCTCCTACTAGAAACGGTCATTGACAGTCCTGGGACGAAGGCCGTGGAAGCCACAAGTGAAGAGGTGCCCGTTGAATACCGCTGATATTCGCTGACGTGGAGTCGGAGTTTGTCATATGTTGTCACGGATATATATCAAGTATGGTGATATTCGTGTGATACTTGTGTATCAGTTTGATTGTGGCTTTCAGGCCAAGAAGCATTTGCTTGGCAGTGCAGCCTTTGGCAGCTGAGATGTCGGAGGTTTCGCAGCTGCCGCGCCATACGAATGGCGTATCCAACATAGTAGTGTCCTTGCTCTGTTCGTAGCGATGCCCTTTGTTCCTAGTAGCGTCCTCTTGTTCCTAGTAGTAAGGCCAGGAGCCCCTAGTAGCGTCCTTGCTCCTAGTGTTTGCTGCGTTTCTTCCTGACAAATGCCCCCCACCCTCCCTTCTTGGTGTTTGTAGGTGTTCAAGCGCTGCGTAGAAGACTATTCTCCTAACGATCCCAACGAGGATTTTCACGAGGGGTCGGTGTCTTAGTTTGGTTTGAAACATTGTTCTCTGTCGAGACCAGCAGAATTTGAGGCCACCTCCAACTGGTTTCAGAAACCTGACAGAGTGCATACGGCCGTGGTCTTTGCTATATAAGTTAGTGTTGCTTCGAGAGCTTCAGACAGTTGTGTCAATGCAAGTTGGTCGTGTTGCTTCCCACCTTCTTCTTGTGTAGACAGTTCAAATTTATGTGTAATGAAATGCCTCAAATTGGTTGTTCTTTTTGTCGAAGGCCGTACCACCCAAATCCTCAGTGGCAGCTTTTTCCTGGAGGTGTCTTGCTTGCACCAAGGATGTTATGAAGTCTTGTGCATCTGTGTATGTTTGCAAAGTTGCTGAAACCAAGAAGTGGGAAGCTTCGAGCGGGATCAGAAGATTTGCTCCATGTGCGCCTCAATGTCTAGCGGTGCAACCTTTGCTCACATCTCTCTTTGCCAGGTACACATTAGCCACAGGTTTATTCAGAGACATTAACGCATGCATCAGAAACGACAATGAAGACGGATTGCGACGCTTAGCCTCGCTCTTGGACATCCTCCTTTATCAAGATCTTATGCCAAACTTTCCGGGGAACTGAAGTGCAAACATGAAACTCGTGAGGCTCCCATGATCTGGGAAATTAGAGAGGTGCCATCGTTGCTTGACCAGTCCATGCGACAACTCTTCAAGTCAGAGTTGCAGGTCTTGCGTTTCGAGACGGCCAAGATTTGCAAGCCAGATGGGCGCAAGTGCCATTCTGAGTTCAGTGGGAGCTGAAGCCTGCCAAGTGAATCAGTAAGAAATGCTGCCGTTTGCCATCAGGTGCAAGCCCTTTATGGGAAAGTGCTTGCGTGGCCTCGAGGCATTGACCAATCAGAGCTAAAAGATGCTAAAAGCACATGACCATGTTTGCATTTAAAAGCAAATGCTGGGCCATGACCAGCTGTGCAGGTCCCAGAAAAAGAGGTAGAAAAGTGGGCCGCCCTTTACAAGGCCGGACACTCAAATACACAACTGGCAGTATTTGCTTCAGCACTTGGCCAAGGCCGGAACTGAATTCGTTTGGCCGGCCTTTACCTCCTGTCAGCTGGAAGACGGAGGCAATGCCCCGCATGGACAAGTAGAAGACAATTAGATGGGTTTACTATAATGGTTTGCTTGTATGAATATGTAACATGTACAAACATTTATTTGACCTGGCTGCCAGGTTTGTGGCCCTTTGACGGAAACCTGAACTTTGAGATTGAGCGCCCAATCTTACAAGCACTGAGCGCAAGCTTTTGAAGTTCGAGAACACAAGCTTTTGAGTATGCCTATGCTGGACCCAGGTGCAACATTGATCCCAGCAAACTTGACACCCCTGAAGTGTTTGCACCTCTTAGCATAAAGCGTTTCATCGGTGGGCCGACTCCTCAGTTTTGCCTGGCCACCATGTCATAGCACGCCTGCAAGTGATTATTGTTGCAAAGCGAAGCAGACTGGATCAATTGCAGGTCCAATGAAGTGCTTTTTCCTCCGCAGACCAAGTTCAGAGTCAAGGAGGAGGGAAACTCGAATTGTGGAATCTGTATTGGATGCCTTTTGTATGACAGCAATTCCCCACCTGCCAGGTGAGGGTTGTTAGATTTTATCAGAGCTCCTCGCCTCCTCGCCTCCTCTCCTCTCTCCCCTCTCCCCTCGCCCCTCTCCCCTCTCCCCTCTCCCCTCTCC